GCCAAAGTCGGGACTGCGACCGTTTCCTCTGTGGGTGAAGCTCGTTCCTTGCCTTGCTCCGTAGGCCGCTCCAGTTCAAGGTCGTCGGCCGCCTTGGTTTTTCTCTTCAGGGCGGCAACATAACACTTGCGGGACTCGAGCTGGTCGCCCCGTGATACACTCACACCGAAGTCTGTAGGGAACTTCATTGCCAAATAGTATGTGGAGACCACTGCCCGCAAGATATGCGTAATTGGCCGCCCCGTCCACCACTGGAAACACCACTTCCCGTCCAACTTGCATGTGTTAAGCATGCCGCCAGTGTTCATCCTGAGCCAAGATCGAGTTTCTTGTTCTTATTGAAAAGGAGTTTCTTGCCCCAATAGTTATACATCATTAAAACGCATTATTTAAGATTTTATAGAGGATATACTATAAGTATAAACAACGTGGAAACCCCCTTTTTTCTATAGMAAAACAGATATAATATAAGATCTTTATTGTATGGGGAAGGGGTCGCGACCCCCAGGAAATCATGGTTGAGTCTGACCGCACAAGGCCATGTGCCGACTTCCACAGGTACTGTTATTTTTCCGAGGGGCCTGACTTCCACTCCGCTGAAACCCACCAGAGGATTGTTTGCGGACTTCAGCTCGCTCTTCTGTAACTGTAGTTGGTCAAATGCTGACTTGAAGAGGATGTCCGCCGAGCTGCCCGAATCCACGAGTATGCGCCTGACCTCGAAGTCGCTAATCCTTAGTTTGATGACAAGCACGTTATCGTGGGGGTAGTGGACCCCTCGCGCATCGTCTTCCGTGAAGAAGATTGGCTCTTTAGTTTTTGGTCTCTTTGAGGGGTTCTGTTCCTCTTGCGCTGCTTCGTGAATTGACGTTCGGGCCGCTGCTGAAGTACACCCTGCTACCACCGAACCTCCCACTATTACATGGATGGTTCCCCGGACGGGCCTCTCTTCCGGAGGCTGTCGCCGCAACGGTTCGGCTGGTCTGCTGCTAGATTCGGGGGCATCCTTTCCGTGCTCCCCTTGCCGACCTGCCTTATTGTTATTAGTATTATCATGCTGTATAAAATTCCTTAAGTATCCGCGATGGGTGAGTCCCTCTATCTCGTCCCGGAGATTATTACACTGTTCGGTACTGTGACCGTGGCCTCTATGGAAACTACAGTACAAATTTTTATTTCTCTCGTTCGGATTTCCCTTTAGGCGAGGTGGCCACTTTATGTATGGGGCATCCTTGATCGTCATTAAGATCTTGGTCCTCCTCGTGTTTAACGACGGGTAATCCGTCTAAACTGCTAAGGGAGCTCGGAACGACTGGTTCGGCTTCGGCTCCCGGGCTGGGTTTTTTCTGTCGACTGGGTTGGAGGGCTCGCCTTCCCTCTTTCTTTTCTCGT